CTTTATTTCTTAAGATTTGTTGGGAGTAGGCTTCTTAGTAGTTCAAGTCTACATTTAGCTTCGCAGTGGAGTTAAAGCGTCTATATTGCTGAGCACCGCATAAGTCTGTGCGTTCATTCGACTGCTGTCCAAGCTCTTCGACCGCCACCACCGCGATTTCACCGCGCGCGATGTCTGCGTTATTCTCCCTCACAGGCAACGAGCACCTAGATGGAAGACTATATCTCGCCATTAGGTTCCACCCCGTGGATCACTGTTCCATCTATGTCTCCAGAAGAAATTTTTCACTTTTTCTGAGTATTCTGGACACACATGAATGTGTCAGAATACCTTAGAGTTCTTCAGTCTAATCACGGCGCTCTATTACCTTCAATAATCAGAATTAATTTGGTAAATAATCAGTAGTCCGGAGCGTGGCGGTAAATAGTCCTCCACACCCAGATATTCTCCGTAGAAAACTTTTAGGACGTTTCATCTGTTGTGCATTTAAATAATATCTTAATTTTTCAGGCTCTAGGAGGACGTGAACCTTTTTCGAGCAACTCACAAAGTTACACTTTATATCAAAAAATGAGGAAAGATTGGCGTCAAACCGTCTACTTGGCCAGGTCGAAGATCCAGGGTCTGGGATTGTATGCAAAACGTGACATACACATGGGCGATATGATAATCGAGTATAAGGTTTGATAGAGCCGTTGAATGCAACATCTACGCTACGTTCCTTGCTTTCACACTTTTTCTTCAATATTTAACTTCAGGGGGAAGTTATCCGAAGCGAAGTTGGCGAAATGCGCGAGAAACGGTATGTTGCTCAAAACCGCGGTGTTTATATGTTTCGAATTGATGAGGATCTGCTTGTTGATGCTACAATGGCAGGTGGTCCTGCAAGGTAAGCACATTTGTCCTAGGAACAGAGTGGGATGTTATGGTACTTTTTTAGTGTTTTTAAAACCATTTTCTTTCCAGATATATAAATCATTCATGCGATCCAAACTGCTCCACACGAATCCTTGCAGCGGGACCTTCCCCAGAAGACAAGAAAATAATAATCACTGCCAATCGCCCTATCAAAGCTTTGGAAGAGGTATTTCCTATTTTGAGTGTGTTTTTACTTAATACTTCCTACTTTCCCATAATAGTTACACTTGAGTTTTGGGGCATCAAGTGGAAAATTTCTATCTTTATAGTTCTGAAAGAAGCATGAACAAAATG